GAATAAAGTAATATTAGGTAACTATACCAAACATTGCCTTTATATTGTAGCAGGAACTCCAGTAACGCTGAGACAAAAATGGGTTTCTAGTTAAATTACAGATAGAATCATCACTATTTAATTACTGCTTTTTGATACTATCTTTGTTAAGGTCTGATGGCCAGAAATACGTCTTAAAACTTGGCAGGAAGGAGCCACCATCCAAATACTAACTCTAATTGTCTGCACCGTCTTGTCCCGAAGCCAAATAATTAGAATATATCATGGGGACATAGAGACATTTCAGATAATACTCAGCAGGAAGTATTATCTTTAAATCAAGGAAGCACATATGAAAAAGAAAGGAAAATCTAACAGGAAATAGCAATAGCACTTATATATTGCTTCACAGTGCTTTATAGCCCTCTTTAAGTGGTTTACAGAATCAGCATATTGCCCCCAACAATCTGGGTCTGGTGAGAAACGAACTCGTGGCAGTTGGCAGAGTTAGGATTCTAACCACTGCACCACCACGACTCATGTAAATAGTGCATTCTAATTACAGCGCCACCAAGGCTCATATAAATATTGTATAAATTGTAAATATTACAATTATAATTGTTTTATATACAAAAGAGTTTTGTAAAAAAAAACAAAAAACCACGGCAACATATCCTGAAAGTATGTTGAAATATGACTAACTAAACATTGTTTTGAGATAATGGGTGGAAAGCTAAAACTTATATGTATGTGTTTGTTTTGTTTATAAATATTTATTTATTTAAAAAATAAATAAAATATTTAAATTATTATCTGAGAGCTGTTTTCTTGACAAATTCTAAAATACATTTTAGAAATATTTTCATTTCCTTCGGTTGAGATTACTTATAGGGAGCTAAAGCAAAAATGATCCTAAAGTGATTTCATGGATAATCATGATAGTGCCATTCTTTCAAGTGAATTTACACCAAGTCTTAATGTTTCAGCTAACTCAGTGTTTCTCAACCTTGACAATTTTAAGGCATGTGTACTTCAACTCCCAGAATTCCACAGCCAGCATTGCTGGCTGTGGAATTCTGGGAGTTGAAGTCCACATGCCTTAAAATTGTCAAGGTTGAGAAACACTGCGAAGTTAACTGGGTTTTTGTTTTTTGTTTTTTTTAAAAAAAGACTACAAACTCATTAAGTATTGCTTATAAGAGAGTCAAAGATGCAAGATGAAAACAGCCTGAATGACCTTTTATGAAATAAAGTGCATTCAGCACTAATAGAGCTAAGAATAGGTCATGAGGGAAATTCCTCCTAAGTTCCTTCCATCTTCACCATATGGATGTACTAAAAGCTTTTTAAATAATTTAGCAAACTGATGGACATGTTTTTAAACACTATTAAACCCACTGTAAAAAAAACTGGCACATTGGCAGGAAGTATAGGAGTGAAAATGGAAAACACGTAGCTTCTATCTTGTGGTTATTCTAGAAAGCAGAAGGGGATGGTGTAAAAGCAACTCTAAGTTATGGCAGGTTTGCCAGACTTCAATTTAACTTTGTGTCCAAGAAACACTTAAAGCAAAAGCTATACATTAGGGCCACGCAATTCAATTCAAAAGCAGAAAGGGACTTCTGCTGCTATTTTCAGACATGAAAATAGACTCCTTAAAACAGCCATGTCTTTTCCCATGCGCACCCATTATTCTGTTCAGGTACTACGTGATCTCAGCAGAAAAAATATTTGGCTTAAGGAGTTCAAGAGATGTACTTGGTTGTGCCTTCATATATTATGCCCAATGGATTCAGCCGGTTCGCACCACTTCAGCAGAACCGGTAGCTAATTTTTTGTTGCCCAGGCCCAGAATGGACTTCCGGAAGTGGCATCCACACAGAGAACCGGTTGTTTACATATTTGAATCCCACCACTTGTTATGCCCTATGACAGTGATGGCAAACCTTTTAGACACCGAGTGCCCAAAAACCGCCCCCTGCCCCCACTCCGCCTCCCACCCTGCCTGCTCCACCCACAGGGCCACACACCGCCTCCATGGCCCACCACAGCAGATCGCCCAGAGAGCCCTGCAGCGCCATGGCAGCCACGTCCTCCGCCCACACCCCGCAGCATCATCTGCACGCTATTGGGCACAAGCACGGAGTCTTGTCCCTGCTGCCGGCTATGTCCTTGGCTGCGCTGCTCTATGCGGGCTGTGCCCAGGAGCGACTCTCCTCTAGGAGGGCTGATGGTGAGGATGGGACTGCGGGAGGAGGCAGGGCTGGGGTGACGGCATGTGTGCCCACGAGAAGGCTCCCACTGCCGCTTCTGACACATGTGCCATAGGTTTGCCATCACTGCCCTATGAGGCACTGCATACCCGAACTACATATCCTGAAAAATGTAGAACATAGAAATGTTATAAAAGCCCTGTGACTGTCTTCTTGCTAACACCGGTGGGAGTAGGAAAATGTATTAATGAAACAGTTCATATCCCCACCCACTTGAAAAGAAACATATGAGTGGTCCATTCTTTTGTTCAGATCCCTTCACAATTACACATAATAACCTAACACCTAGATTTGTGTTGAAAAACTGTTTCCTGTTGCCCAGGTAATCCTTAGGACATAAGCTGCATTCTTACAGAACCTAACAACCATGACAGGTCTACATGTATACACAATGAGACTCCTTTCTCATATCTCCTGAATGTGCACTACAGAGGAAGGCTGTTTATAATGTTAAAAACACAGCAGAGGGTGGATTTTTTTCCCCATTTGAATCATTAATGCTAAATGCTGGAATCACCAAAATATTATTTAGTTGTAAAAGAAAGAGGTGAGAATTGATACAGGGTGTACTCCAATTGAATCTCTGAAGGAAAAGCAGGTTCTACGTTTAAATATATAAAAAGGACAGTCAGTTACATATCCTTTAAAATGCATTTGTATGTCTTCATATTCAGACTCACTTCTTGTTAAGGAATAGTACTGTAGTTATTTATAGTTTTCCTTAAACCATCCAGATGTAATCATGCTGAGTAAGATCTGTATCAATTGAACAAATGTTCTTATACAGTACTTAGTTATGTTCATGAATGCAATGCTACCAAGGATAATTCAAGCACAATCAATGTGATAGACAAAGATAAGTCCATGAAATCCATACTTCCCCAGTCTGAGAAATTTCCTAAACAGTTTTTAAAACATCAGCTAATTATTATTATTATTATTTTTAAAAAAGGGAAGGGCTTGCCCATTCATATAAATCATAGTGAGATTTTCTTTTCCTAATCATCAACAGAATATCATTAATCTTTAAGTACAGTTATTTGTCTGGGAAAGATGGGGTCTGAGACAAACAATTGTTCTTCCTGATAAATGTTGAATGTGT